ATTTCCTAATACTGATATTTGTCATCCCCAAAGAAAGTGTATTGGTTTTTTAAAAAAGAAAGTGTATTTGGAAATAAAGTCAAAAAGAAAAAAAAAAAAAAAAAAAAAAAAAAAATCGTATCGTTGAGAACCTCAAATATCAGACCAAGGTGAGAATCTCAAATATCAGGCCAAGGTGAGAATCTCAAATATCAGACCAAGATGAGAACCTCAAATATCAGACCAAGGAGCTTGGAGCCACACCTGCAGGCTGAGGGCTACTAGCGATGCTTCTGGTGTAGGGCGATGACATGATCAGAGCTGTCTGAAGAGAGAAAACAGCAGAAAGCAGATGGATGGGAGAAGAGCAGGACCAAGAGGGTGGGGCTGTGGCCACAAGCCAGGATGAGGAAGGCAGGCAGGGCCCTCTACAGTGATCACCCTCACAAGTGCTGGTCTTCTGAGGTCTCAGTACCCCTGCCATTCAGCTCCAATATAACCTATATATATCCTATATATCCCACTCAGCTTCAATATAAACCTATGCCTTAAGAACTAAAAACACACAGAAAGTAACTTTTATCACACTGAATTCAACCACGAGGGTACAAAAAAGAAAGCAGTTACAGCAAAGAAGCTACTTTCTTAAACAATGTGTCCTTGGATAGCTTCTAAGAACACCCCAGCCCCATCCTGAAAAAACAGTGGGACCCCTTATGGAGCTCAGTTCGCCAACTGCATAGTGACCACTGGCCTGGGATCTACAGGACAGCAAGAAACATACAAGTCTGCCACAATGCACTGCCACTACAACCTTTCTCTCTCTCTTTTAATTCCTTTTTTTTTGGAGACAGGGTTTCACTCTGTCACCCAGGCTGCAGTGCAGTGGTGTGAACTCGGCTCACTGCAGCCTTGACTTCCTGGCCTCAAGCGATCTTCCCACCTCAGCCTCTAAGTAGCTGGGACCACAGGCATGCACCACCACAGCCAGCTAATGGATAAACAAAATATGACACGTTCATATATGGGAATATTACTTGGCCATGAAAGGAAATGAAGCACTGATACTTGCTACAACATGGATGAATCTTGAAAATATTATGCTAAGTAAAAGAAGCCAGACACAAAGGTATGTACAGTGCCATTTATATGAAATGTCCACAATAAACAAATTCATAAAACAGGGGCAGTGGTTCATGTGGTCCCAGCACTTCAGGAAGCCAAGGTGGGATTGCTTGAGCCCAGAAGTTAAGATCAGTCTGTGCAAGACAGAGAGACCCCTGTCTCTATGAAAACAATTAAAATATTAACTGGCCACGGTGGTGCACACCTGTAGTCCCAGCTACTCCAGAAGCTGAGGTAGGATAACAGCTAGAGCCCAGGAGTTGAAGGCTGCAGTGAGCTATGATCACACAACTTTACCCCAGCCTGGGTAACAGAGCAAGACCTTGTCTCAAAAAAAAAAAAATTCTTAGAGACAGAAAGTTGATAGGAGTTGCCTACAGTTGACAGGCTGGTAGATGAGAAGGGGTTGGGGGAAATGAGAAGGAATTGCTAATGTACTTAATTTATTTTTAGATAGATGAAAACATTTAAAAATTGATTGTGGTGATGGTAACACAAATTTGTGAATATACTAAAAATCATTGAATTGTACATTTTAAATGGGTGAATTGTATGGTGTGTGAATTGTATCTCAATAAAACTCTTTAGAAAAAAAAACAACAACAATAAGCCGAGCATAGTGGCACGCACCTGTAGTCCCAGCTACTCAACAGGCTGAGGCAGGAGGATCACTTGAGCCCAGGACTCAAGCCCAGCCTGGGCAACACAGCAAGACCCCATCTCATAAAAACCAAACAAACAAAAACCAACCCACCTCTACTCTCACTAGCCCATGCACAAATAGAGACTGGAAATCCAGAGCACAGGACCTGGCCAGCCCAGAGTCTTGGAGAGGAGGCTAGGCCCTAGGCACAAGAAGCCCCAGCTCTGCAGCCTGAAAGAACTATGACCTCAGACACATATTATCCTTCAGCCAGTTTCGGTCTCTGTAAAATGTCAGCCATATGACCTACTTCACAGAGTCGAGCACTTAAATTAAGCCGTAAGTGTGAAAATGTTTGGCATAGTGTCAGACATAGAATAAGCATGGAATACAAGCTAAAACCACAATGATCTATGGGAAAGCATGATGTAAACGACAAAGACCTTCCTAAGTGTAAGATGGTTGCATAATTTCATTTATAAAATTACAACATGCATTATCAGAAACAACCCATTTTCAACTTCATATGCTGCTTTCCAAAGACTCACTTGAGCTCATTGCCCCACTGTTTCAAAGAGTAAAAATTAATGGAATTTGGATGCCCTGGGGCCGGCTGATTTGCAGCTTGTTCTCCCACCAGCTCTCCAGGCACAGTCTCCACAGCCAGGACATTTCTGGCTTTTTCTGCAGAAGCATTTGGGTGTGGGTAAATTAAATCTGAAAAAAAAAAGGCAAATAAATGTCAGTTACTCAAAGCTTCCACACAAAACTTGACATCCTATATGAAACACTGACAATATACTATATAAAAATCTAAACTATGTAATAGTCTATTTTTTTTTTTCATTTTAGGTTTTGGGGTACATGTGAAGAACATGCAAGATTGCTGCATAGGTACACACATGGCAGTGTGATTTGCTGCCTTCCTCCCCATCACCTATATCTGGCATTTCTCCCCAGGCTCTCTCTCCCCAACTCCCCACCCCCCGCTGTCGCTCCCCTATTTCCCCCCAACAGACCCCAGTGTGTGATGCTCCCCTCCCTGTGTCCATGTGTTCTCATTGTTCAACACCCACCTAGTAATAGTCTATTTTTAATGTACACTACCTACAAACATAATCTGTGGGTATCTCTGGTGTTCTAAAACCATTTTCATCTAAATAGATCCATGTTTCTCAAAGTAAGATTGTGACGTGCTTCAAACCACCAGATATTAACAGTGTTAGCTCAGAGAAAGCAAAGGCTAGAATTTTCCTCCAGTATTGCAGAACAATAACCCTCACCATAAACCCGTCATCAAAGTCCAGTCACCTGTACTGATAAGAAACAATTTCCGGGATAAACTGTTAGGTTAAGAAGAGCAAAGGGCAGATGAGACTAAACGAGGCTCCCTTCTCTCTAAGAAAGCGAGAGAAATACAAACGTATTTGCTAATACTTGTAAGGAGTGACACTGAAAAAAATCAAGTTTGCACATCACAGAATAGCAGTTCAGTAAATTCACAAGCAAACAGTGATGCTAAAGCATGATGAAATGTCGCAACACATCTTTAAAATGTAAGCGTTTAAAATATTTCAGGTGGAAATGATATGATGTTCAGGATTTACTTCAAAATAGCAATATTTTGTTACTTAAATACATCCTAATATTTGCAGGTAACATGTTATTTGCTTCAAAATAACAAAGAGGGTTATCAATGAAACAAGAGAGTAATTATTGTTGAAACCACCCAATAAACCTGGAGGTAATCTTATGTTATTCTTTGCATATGTTTAAAATTTCCCATAATAAAAAGTTACGTTAAATATTTTTTTACAGGCCAGGCGCGGTGGCTCACGCTTATAATCCCAGCACTTTGGGAGGCCGAGGCGGGTGGATCACGAGGTCAAGAGATAGAGACCATCCTGGTCAACATGGTGAAACCCCGTCTCTACTAAAAATACAAAAATTAGCTGGGCATGGTGGCGCACGCCTGTAGTCCCAGATACTCGGGAGGCTGAGGCAGGAGAATTGCTTGAACCCAGGAGACGGAGGTTGTGGTGAGCCGAGATCGCACCATTGCACTCCAGCCTGGGTAACAAGAGCGAAACTCCGTCTCAAAAAAAAAAAAAAAATTTTTTTTTTTACAAAACCATTTTTTTTTTTTTTTTTTTTTTTTTTTTTTTTTTTTTTTTTGTCCCCGAGATGGAATTTCACTCTTGTTGCCCAGGCTGGAGTGCAGTGGCGCAGTCTCGGCTCACTACAACCTGCTCCTCCTCCTGGTTTCAAGTGATTCTCCTGCCTCAGCCTCCCAAGTAGCTGGGATTACAGGTGCCTGCCACCACGTCCAGCTAATTTTTGTATTTTTGGTAGAGATTTTTGTATTTTGGGGTTTCACCATGTTGGCCAGGCTGGTCACAAACTCCTGACCCCAGATGATCCACCCACCTCAGCCTCCCAAAGTGCTGTGATTACAGGTGTGAGCCACCATGCCCGGCCAATAAAAACATTTCTAACTAGAAATACTCTGTATTCTTCCAAATGACATAATCTGCACTGGTGTTTCAGTGGTAGAATTCTCACCTGCCATATGGCATAATCCCTCTGAGATAGGAAATGCTTATAAACAGAATTTAGTATTACTTTACAACAATCAATTTGATCTACACTTCTTTTTAATGTATCTCTGTATCAGCAAAACCAACCATCTCTTTCTGCAAAATCAGAATTGACTGTAGACCGCTGATATTCAAGAAAAGTTCTTTTCTCTTTTTTTTTTTTTTTTTTGAGGCAGGGTCTCAGTGAACATGGCTCACTGCAGCCTCAACCTCCCAGCCTTGTGCAAGCCTCTCACCTCAGCCTCCCAAGTAGCTGGGACTACTGGAACGCACCACCATGCCCAGCTAATTTTTGTTTTGTTTTTTGTAGAGATGGTTTTGTCATGCTGCCAAGGCTAGTCTCGAATGCCTGGGCTCAAGCAATCCTTCCACTTTGGCCTCCCAAAGTGCTGGGATTATAGGTGTAAGCCACTGCACCCGGCCAAGAAAAATTCCTTTCTAATCAGATAAGCACACAATCAGAGTCAACAGGACAGGCCTCTGTAGAGGTCACTGAGCACTGGCAAAGAAAACAGAAAGCAGGGAGTGCTGGGCTGCGCGGGCTTGGAAATCAACGTCCTGAATGCCGCGTGATGGGCCTACACTATGTAGGCAGGTTCTGACTTGACCGACCACAGTCAGTGTAGGAAGGGCTTCAAGAACACACTGGGAAAGTATCTTGGGTGTGGCATGAGTAAACAACTGCTGTGTATCTATCAGGGTAATTAGGCTTTGGCCAGGAGAGTCAGGGTTCTGACTAGGAAAAGCAAGACGGTGTGCTGGCAACAGAAGAATTACAAGCTTGGTAACAGAGTACCCACTTTTTTTTTTCTTTTTAAGACTGGGTCTCAAACTGAGGGTTGGACTGCAGTGGTGTGACCACAGCTCACTGCAGCCTCTTGAGTCAAGAGGCAAGAAGGTACAAATTACTACAGATTGCCAGTTCCTGGTTTCACTATCATGTATCAAGCACTAGGCACGGAGGGCACAACCACCAACGAGACAGAGCTTTCCCCGTAAACTAAAACACATCCGGGAGAGAGACATAAGTAAAATAGTAACATGTCAAGCTCCAAGTCACCACAGAATAAATACATTCAGTCCTTGTGATCCAGACCCTTCCTCTGATGGGTCTTAGGGTTCCAGGAGATGCTTGGGGGACTTCTAGAGGGAGAACAGAAGGGGGGGGTGGTCCCACGCTCAGCTTCAGCCTCAGCAGTTCCTCTGGGGTTCCCTTTAAGATTTCATTTGGAAAAGAAGTTCCAGTAAACAAAGGAAAAAAGTTCAAACACCACTAATCCAGCCCAGTCTCCCTACCTACTTCATCTGTCAGGACACTAGAGTCCAGAGCCGTGGCCAGAACCCGGACTCCTGCTCTGCAGAATACAAATATTGCAAGGCAGACAGAGATGAGTACACCTACCAGAGAAGGGCACAGTGCTCGGAGGTGGGGGGTGTGCTCAATGTTGGTGACTGTGTGTGTCAGTCTACGGGCACATGGGGTACAGGTGCGGCTCAAACTCCTTTACTTCAAAGGCTGGCCTTAAATGATCATCATCACAATTCTAAGCCAAGTCAGGAAATAAACACAACAAAGTGTACACATTTCTGTTACAGGCCTAGTCCGGCCTCTCCTTCCTGTGTGGGCTAGTAGCAAGGTGATGAATGGTCCCTCTGCAAAATCAGATTGTCAAATGCTCATGTGGCAAAGTGCCTATTACCAAGAAAACCCCAACCTTGCAGCAACCCACAGCCCATACTGGAAATACTTCCTGAGGAACTCAGAGGCCCCGGGGAGGGGTGGAGAAAAGGGACCGGAGACCAGGGAGGAACATGCTGGAGGACAAGTTCCAGAAGTAATGATCTGATTTGAAAAAGAAGCTCTTCTCCAGCTTAATACATTTTTGCTGTTACTGTTACTTTTGTCTGCTTTTTGGTTTTTAAGAGACCATGTGAGATTTACTTAATTAAAAGCAGAGCTGCTGGCTTCTCCTCAATACATGTCCTAACATTAGCATGCAGGAAACCGCCTCAAGGAGGACATTAAGGGAAAACACAAACTAGGACATGGCAACACTTCCCCAAAGATTTTAAGAGGCTGGACTGGTGTCAATGAAATATCTTGTCTCACAGCTACAGTGTTTCGGGAAAGAAGGTCTGTGCCTGACGGTTTTTGGTGTTTAGACCTCTGTTCTTTTTAAACATTTTGAAACGCCTACATGACAACTCTGCGGGAGTTTCTGACTGCATTGTTCCCATTTCCTAGTTCTGATTCCAGCACCGCCTCTAAATCCAGTGTGATCCCAGGCAGTCTCAGCCTCCCCTGTCTCCAAGATCCCTTCCCACTTGCTGCATTCTAATACGTGATGCTCAAAGTCTCCTCCTAATGGGACTCCCTGCACAGGGGCGGCTCCTGCCTACATTTGGACTGCCTCAGTGAGTCTCCATCTCCTCTCCTGCTGTCTCAGTCAGGCCCAGGTGCTCTGCCAGCAACCTCTGCAGAGCACAGAACTGTGTACAGTGGGAGAATTCTCATAAAACCCAACCTAGGCCTGCAGCTGCATCCAAGAAAGGAGGAAAGAGCGCTGGGAAAGGGTTACCCCATATGCATCAAAGGACACAGCAAACAGAAGTCTGGGTGTCAACACTGGGAGGTGGAGGAAGACAGGGTGGGCTTCATCTGAAAAAAGAAAATTTATTTATGAATGTGAGTTTTAATACAGATTATGAAGGAGCAGTCAGGAGGAGTAGAAGTATCTTCCAAGTGAGGGCACCGCGTACACCCAAGCACCAAAAAGGAGAGGCGGCAAGCCACCAGGTCCTGAGAGGCCTCAGGATGGGCCAGTGCATATGTCCGGTCCCCTACCCCGACCAAGGACACAAATCTGTGAGAACTGAACCCCTATCTGATTTGCTAACAGCTGCATATAACACCCAGCATAAAGGAGCGATGTAATACATATTGGTTAAATGACCAAATGAATCCATAAAAGACAGGATCTTGCTAACATGGCATGGGAGGAAAGGCCTTCTGTGGGCTGAAACAATCGGGCAGAAGGTAACAAAGGCCCCTGCAGGTTTTGGAATGGGTTTATACTCATCATCCCTCCTGACTTCCCTCTCTCCTCCACCTTGCCTCCG